AAACAAACTTCCGAGCACCTGACTATCCTCGATCTCCTTTGCATAGTCGTCGTAGTCTCCCTGCGCATGAAGTCTTGTAGATCTTAACTTCTCGTACCCCGGATATAGGGGCCTTAGTAATTAGAATAGGGTTTTGGGTCTGCTGGTTTGAGTTTGCACCCATAGGCTCCAGTGTAGTTCCTTCTTGGGATTACCTCATAGGATCCTAAATATAAGCCACAAAAAGGAACTACTATGGGGCCTATGGGCAGACGGATGTTACATCCATGTGCCTTACTTGAGGCGTGTCTACCAGGCAGCATATTCTAGTGCGGAGCCCCAAACGCTAAACCCTGAATGATCACAGCTACAGGCCGACAGCCAGAAGACAAAAAACCCAGGCTCTGAATCCTGAAAGGACATCGTAGCCCCAAACTCTACATCGACGATGAAGGCGCTGCTCCCTGCATCTCATCAAGTCAGATGGGGGCTCTATAGTTTATACGGGCTATCCAGCCTAAATGCCCTAAGTCCGCAAAACGAACGTATAATGAGAAACCTTAGAGAGCTTCAACCCTATATTATGCTAAGCCCCTTAACCTCGAATGAACCCCAAACCCCTGAACTTTCCTTAAACCTCCAATCTCAAATCTTAGCTCCAAACCTTACCTCGAACCCCAAATCCTGCGAAAGAGTAGGTGCTAGTTGGTTATGACCTCTCTATTTATAGGGTATGACTCCTACCACGGTAAGGTTTTTAGATCCCGAGGTAAAGCCTAAACCCTGAAACCCCTATACCTTGAACCCTGAACCCCTACTGATCTCCGAACCTTAAGCCCGCGAACTCTGCCACTACAGGGGTTCGGAGCAACTGGGAATAGTATTCCCTCATAGCTCTTGTATCATACCTCTAGCATAATAAGCCCTGCCTAAAACCCCATTAGGCCTAGCCGCGCGAAACCCTGAACCCCTGAACCCTACTTGTCGACCCGAAAATCCCCTAAACCCCAACCCTAAATAGCCTGAACCCCTAAACCCTAAACCCTACTTGTAGACCACAAAGGCCCTAAAACCCACAACTCTCCTTAACCTTAAACCCTACTTCTAGATCAAATAACCCCCTAGAACCCGCAGGTCCCTAACCCCTACTTGCAAACCGTAAGAAAAAACCCTAAAACCCTCTACACCCTACTTGAAGACCCTAAATACCCTAAAACCCCCTAAACCCGACTACTTGTAGACCCTAAATACCCTAAAACCCTGATGTAGGGGCCTTAATAACTAGAATAGGATTTCGGAGTATATTTTCAATTATTATAAGATGGAGCCACCAAAAAAGGTATAGGTAATAATTTATCCCAAACCCTGAACCCTAAACCCTAAACCATACATAACCATATTACAGTTCTACCACGAGCAGAGCCTAAACCCTAAACCCACACCCTAAACCCTAAACCCTAAACCCTAAACCCTAAACGCTAAACCCTAAACCCTACACCCTAAACCGCCTGGTACTCCGAGCTCCGCCACTCGGAGCAGCTCATGGCAGAGGCTAGAGGCAGGCCATTGAGCCTGCGTTTGAGGGAAGTTGAGGGTTTAGGGTTTAGGGTTTATAGGGTTTAGCTTTGAGGGACGTTGAGGGTTTAGGGTTTAGGGTTGAGGGGTTCCTGGGGCTCGAGTTTATGTGGGGGGTTTAGGGTCTTTTAGGGTTTTTGCGTTGAAGGAAGTTGAGGGGTTCCTGGGGCTCGAGTTTATGGGGGAGGGGGGGGGTTAAGGGTTTTAGGGCTTTAG